ATGTTTCATAACACTATTTGAAACGTTTATCATCAAAACAATGAATAGCAGCCTAGCACGTTTAGACATTGGCTTGGCAGATCGAACTAAGATCAGTGTTGATTTGAAGCTTTCGTGACTGTTTTACTGCAGCAAATATGTATGGAACGGAGCTCATCTCAGCAAGTAATCCTCAAGTCGGAGAGAAAAATGCACATTCCTGTAGCGGGAGCCAACACTAACCCACAGAGACAACCAACCACCGTCGACTTCCCATGGATTGAATCTCATTTCGATGACCACAAAGAGCCGATGCGATGAGTCAACCTTCAACGTTGGCCAAATAAAATTATGGCTCAGAAATTATTAATTGTATCACTTTCCTTTAACGGACATACAAAATACAGTACACAACAGAGTAACTTTTACGCATACATACACGATCTGACCAAAAAGAAAATAATTATGAATGACCTAGAGTAGATTGTGAATATTTCCCAACAACATTTGACTTCGACTTTGTTAAAATACTGTACAGCGAAAAGCAGGGCAATGATATAGAACATAATTTTACCATGTTTAGGTTAACAAAAATGATTGTTCCACTACATAAAATAAATTTGACAATGGGTTTTGCACCCATCGCACAATACGTGGGGGAAAACGGGTAAGAGAAACTGTAGGTACGGGATAATTGTATGCTTAAAATGCAACCTGTAAAGTACAGCTCTTTTCAGTACACTTCAGGATGAAGGCCTCCCCATGCCAATCACGTGGGTTGTTTGACTATACTTAACCACGCTGGTAAATATGGGTTGGTGAATGGAAATGTCAAATAACCAATTGTAAGTCTGGTTGATGTTAATCAATGCTACCATGGCATATTCTCGCCCATGTTCTTCACTTGTTAAAATGGTATTTGATTACACACACCCTCAATATTTTTAAACGTTTATTTCTACAAGTGAAAATTACCACTTGGCACCTACTACGCTCTGTTTCCTAACATTCGCGATCTCAAATTGCCCCTTCATTGAAAGTGCTACATTTGATCTAATAGAAGAAACTCAACAGTGGATCTCACAATAACTGTTTTAACATCACAGGAATAATTATCAGTGTGAAAATTATACAATGCAGTGTTGAAAATCACACATCATTAAACATTTCACCAATGTGAAGTCTAACATCATCCAGATGTAAAACATTACATTCTATAAACTACTGCACAGTATTTAGATAAAGCATGTACTAGATAATGTGGTGCACGTGTAAGTTATGTTATCACACAACAGTGAATAAATGCTGGATCTACGTATAAAAACGGAAATGTGGCATTCAAATCACTGTTATTGATCATATCCATATTCTCCACACTTGATACAATTTGAAAATGCCATTCATTGATTGAAAACGTTAATCTACAGCAGGATAAGAGCTCATGCGGTGGAGCAATGGTGCAGTCATTGGTGCGCCACTATGCTATTACTAGGTTGTTGGGGGGCACCTAGTAATTTTGGTTGTGGTGTTGGGAGGCGCCCCCCAACACCACAACCTGCAGCGTCCCCGAACAACCACAGCCTGCGGCGCCCCCCAACAGACTGGTCAACAACCACAGCGTGCGGCGGCCCCCAACAGACTGGTCAAGTAAATTCTTACGATCCATTCGCACAGCGTGCGGTGGGCATTCATCCAGCAGTGGATTTAAGCACAAAAAAATTGCAGTACTAATGTAATGGACCGAGCACGGCTCTGCCTCAGGGCAGCAGTGGAGGGAGTGCGTCTGGCTCCCTCACGGCAGCAGTGGAGACAGCACGGCTCTCCCTGCGGGCAGCAGTGGACAGAGCACGGCTCTCCCTCAGGGCAGCAGTGGACGGAGCACGGCTCTGCCTCACTCTCATTCACCCGTCTCCTCACTCTCACACACCCGTCTGTTGCTCGCGGTCACGTGACGCACTTCAACCAATCGGGGGGCGTACATGTTTGGGAGGGGCTCACCTCTGCTTGGCTGCTTGCTCGCGGTCACGTGACTCCCTTCAACCAATCCGTGCCGCGTTAATCACAGGCACAGAATGAAATTAATAATGACAGATCTGGGCTATTATATATTAGGATACCAATCTCCCGAGTTCGATTCCCTGCCACAACTAATAGCAGTGGCGACTGATATACGAACCCATCCTGTCACTACCATGGAGTGTGGAGGCCTCCATCCAGCAGTGGATTGGCGGAGGTTTGTACATCATTCTTATTTATATTAAGAGCTCATTGTGACCCAGAAAGAAAATACAAGGTCCACGGAACAATATAAGGTTACAACCTATAAATCCCTAACACGAGTAAATAAACATTTATTATGGGAAATGAATCACGAGAATTAGTCAAAAATGGCAGCACTTAGCAATAAGATTGAGGGTCTGTGCAAGTCCACCTTGGCACAGCGGCTAAGGCAATTCAATCGTGTGTCATTAGCAGAAATGGCAATGTTGAAGCCCATTCACATTGCACTATAGTACGGTGCCCGTTAAGAACTTTATAGTTACCCGGAATGCCAAAGACCACCCATCATATTGTGAATTGCACGTGGACGATAGAAATTCACCTATTTACTGCTCACTCACTGTCAGAGAAAACTGGAATCCAAAATTGGTCACAGGTGAAAAGGCATGGCACAGAAGTTTAACCCAGCGCTGCAGAACAAGAATTATCAAAGCCAAGGTCTGAAATACAATCTCAGAAATGAATGGGCCCTATGTGGCTGTTAGGGCTGTAATTTGAAAAGTGAGGGCAAATGTCTGGACTTTCATAAACAGTATAACATGCACTCCAGTACACCAGAACTTACATTCAGTTCCTTTATAAAAGCCATGTGAAAACACACTAAAACAAGAAGTCTCCAGGTAGAGTTGAGTTAATGTTGGAGAAGAGCAAGTGATGTGTATAGAGGACAAAGCATATAATAGGAGCGATTTTTTGTCATTATAAACATATTATAAATTACCCCAATCTAATAACATGATTTACAAAATACTGCAGCCTTATTTTGTCCATTGCACAACACCCTGTCTTGTAGATGGACAGGGGTGCCCTTGCCAATAACAGTGCAACCCGAGCAGTATTCGGTTTAACAAGCCTGACTTGTCGATAAGACCATGAAGATTTGAACTGGTCCAGTGTTCTCGTCGAAACCAAAGCTGCTCGGTAACATTCGTTTACTGAGCCCATAAGCTGCAGGAAAACGCACATTTTTTTATGATTACAGTATCTGGAAATATGAACGGATGTTGGTTAACTGTATTGCCGAGGTGATAAATCGCCCAAAAAACTACAACTTCTACCCACATTGGGCGGTGCCCGTTTTTGCGGTTAAGAGCCTTAAATACCGCGTACCACCTTCACATGGCAGGGCCCAAACACCATCCTCAATTCAACAGCCATTTAAGTATTCCCTTCAAGACAATTCAGCCTCACCAAAGTGGTGCTCAATTTACAGACCGCATTGCGATGGTGATAATGAATTGACAAGGATACAATTACTCGCATTGACAATATTGGTGACAACGGTAAAACGGATACAGTACAATTTGATCCATTTACATATATACACCTCACTGATTTATAACCACCCCCTTTACTTTCATCTCAACAGGTGATTAAATATGTGAGAAAAGCGATGGGCCCATATCTCATAGTGCAAAGTGTTCAAAAATTTAGTAAGCGAGATTGGTGGGAGACGTGGAAAAGCTTTGAAGTAAGATGTAGCTTTCTTGAGCATTTCTCCCTTTCATTTTATCGTGGGGGTTATATACGACGGTGTCACAACGTGAATATTCCCGACAGTTGCTGTACACCACATCAATGCATGGATAATAATTCAACAGCGCTGATAGCACACACCTATCGGATTAGGATGCACCACCACCACCAACTTATTCTCTAAAAACTGAGAGGGGAAAAGCCTCTTTTATAATCCCGGGAATATGGTCATTATGGCAACCCAGAAGCAAAATCCGAAATCCAATCAGGAACAAGACACATTGGATTGTTTCTGGGTGGCGACGAGACGGCAATGTAGTCCAGCAAGTCATTGTTGAATCCATCTGTACGTCGATTTTAGTTGTCACCCCTTCGTACGCGTGGTGGGTTATATGCGGGTAACTTTAGATTCCCTCCCACACGAAGTTAGACACCCATGGGATTTCATTGGGGGAAAGAAAAATCCCAATTACCAGCAGGATTCTCTTGCAAAGGACTGTTTGCTATAAATAATGGGAATTGTTATCACAATACTTGGACTATTCAGAAGCCAAGCAGGGACTGAGCCTGGATAGTGCTTGAATAGTGCTTGAATGGGCGACCACCACGCATAAAACAATAAACTCGAACACATTCGTCAAGAACAATGTGGCCTTAAAATAAAACACACATGGTAGAAGGCAACGACGTTTCGGTCAACGACCCTTCTTCATCACAGCACCACTGCCAACGCAGCATCACCAAATATGCACAAAGCAGATTGCCGCAGGACCCATGGCAAGTAGCAGAGGGGAGTGGGAGCAAAGAAGAACATTGTTGTACCGTACTTCTATGCGCCTATATTTACTGCATCCATCTCCGCATTCGCCAGCGTGACGATGACCACCACGGGTGCCTGCCGATAAAATAACCCACAAGCAACGGAGTGGGGAGGCCTTCATCCAGCAGTGGATTGACGAAACGTGACGATGAAATGACAATGCGTGCACACACACACACGTCTAGTTTATACGGTATTGTGTAATTCAATAGCCCCGTAGCTGACAACGGATATAACGGTGACCGTGACACACACACACACCCCCAAAAGCCACATGCCACACCGGCTCCATCCGCCCTCACAATCCATACCCGGCGTGAGAGCTTCATCATCACCAACCACACACAGTCTCCATCATTCTCTTGCCGCTGCTGCCAAAGCCACTGTGGAAGAAGTGAACGAAGATCGGCAAGAGCGGCCCAGCAACACACACACACACCCTTACCGAAGCCGTCAGCCTCCTCCATGCTTCTTGGGAGACAGCGTCCCGTGTCTTCACACCACCACCACCAACCGCGGCCACCGCCTTATCGGTCTGTCGGCGTCACCCTCACAGAGCCCTCGTCCAACGCTGCTGCTGATGATGGATCAAGTGAGAGCGCCCAGGGAACAAGACACGCGCGGAGCTCAAGAAGAGACGACGGGGGTGGCGTGGTGTGGTGGGGGAGAGAAAGACGCAGCGCAGATCGTGGGGGTCTCGCACGGCGCTTCGCCTCCTACTGGCGGAGTGGGGCGCCAGGCGGAGACGGCGCCAGACCCGTGCGCCTCGTGCGTTAGAAATAAGAGAGGGTGGGCGTGGCAGCCGGAGGGGGGAGGGGCGGGGTTAATTTATGTTAATTAGGCAATGAAGGCGTGGCTAATTAACAACGTTGAGCAATAGGAGGTTGAGGGGTGGGGGGTGTTTTTCGATTTAAAGCTTTCGTGACTGACTGCAGGGATTCATATTCTTGGTTCTTTTGGTAAAGTCACGTAGAAGGGAAATAATAATACTATATTTATATACAAAAAGTAATATTATTTTATTATTTTCCTATATATAATATATTTATATTATTTTATTATTTCCCTTATACGTGCCTTTACCGAAAGAACCAATAATATGGGTGGGGGGGGGGTAATTATGACGTTGAGCCTCGTGTTTATTTTAATGAGGGTTCGAGCCGGGTAATGTTTATATCCGTAATAAGAGGTTTTTGTGGGGGTTAGATCGCGTAAAATATAAATACTGTGTCGACACGGCCAATTAGTTAAGGTTTGTCGCGTAAAACAAAACGTTTCCAATTCGTTACCAGTTCAGCAGGTCGTGTGTTGGAGTAGTAAAACCCACTTACAACGACCAGCATCGTCAGGCGACAGCCACGGCGTTGGGGAGAAACGTGCTGGACGGGTTAATGCTCGATTTAAAGCTTTCGTGACTGCAGGGATTCATCTTCTTGGTTCTTTCGGTAAAGTCACGTAGAATGGAAATAATAAAATAATAAAAATTAAACATAATAAAATAATTCTCACGACGTTTCGGCCACAACGCAAGCAGCCGTCCTCAGGTGAAGAACAGGTCTGACTCTGTCTTTTCGACAGACCTGTTCTTCACCTGAGGACGGTTGCTTGCGTTGTGGCCGAAACGTCAGACTCTGTCTTCTCGACAGACCTGTTCTTCACTTGAGGACGGCTGCTTGCGTTGTGGCCGAAACGTCGTGAGAATTATTTTATTATGTTTAATTTTTATTATTTTATTATTTCCATTCTACGTGACTTTACCGAAAGAACCAAGAAAGGTTAATGCTCATTACTCGGGTTCGTTGGGCAGGACGAGGCTCGCTTGGCGGCGAGACATCGACACATCCACGTGGTCTCAAAGCGCACGTGGCCTGTGGCACATGCGTATTGGGCAGGGCAAAGGAGGCAATGCCTGTAGCATATGTTGTAAAGGGGCCCTAAATAAATAAATACAAATACGTAACTGTTAAATACAAATAGTAAAGTAATTGTATATTTTCATTTGCTACACAGACAGGTAATACGACAAATCGCTAACCTTAAACACCCAGTCGTTCATAAAAGTCGAAGGCGGTATAGTACTAGAGTAATAGAGCAAGTGCAGAATCACTGAAACGGAACTGATAGCTTGAAAGCAATTTGCGCGTAACATTTTTAGCTCCTCTTGCTACTGCATGGAGGCCAGAATCAGAATATTTATTTATCCTGGAGGAATCCGATGAGCTATGAAGCTCTTTAAAAACACACACATGTCCAGTCGGGGCGGGTAAGAACGTTGCGACAACAAACAGTACAAAACCACGACGGGAGTGCAAAGTGCAAGAAAGGTAAACAAATCAGTCAAACACGTACAATAAAACTAAACCATTCCCATCCTACCAGACAGCGCGATGTGTAATGTGTATTTAATGAGAGGGGGGGGGGGGTGCGATTGTATGTTTATTATCAGAATCAGAATATATATTTTGACTGGAGGAATCCGATGAGCTATAAAGCTTTTTTTTTAAATAAGAGGGGTCGAGGCGGGTCGCGTTGATACGTTGAGGGGTCGTGCTTGCATGAGGGTTCTTGTGAGCGACAATCGTTGCTCATTAACGAGGGGCGCCGGATGATGAAAGTCTGTCTCAGCAAGTTCCCATTTGCGAGTGACGAGGGGGGTGGGGGGGTGCAGCCACCCCTGTTAATTTAATCTCAATTAATATGCTCCGTCGCTGTGCGTTATGGGTGACTGCACGTGGATAAACAGACAAGGGTGCCTTACAGCGTGGTCCAAATGTCTTGTGATTCCCCCCCCCCCCCCCCCCCCCATTGAATTCTCTAAAACGTAATGGTTTTTTTTAAAACTGAAATTAATATGCAAAGGAACAAAAATGTTAGGGGTCAATTAATTGGGTGGGGGGGGGGTCACAATCCATCTGAACCACCCTGCATACTCTATCAGCCCACGGGAACTATTATTCATGTGATTAATGATCATGATTAATTTTACGAGAGAGGAACGTCATGTTTACAAATACGATTCGGGACAAGTGTCCCTTGGTTATGGATAACGGGGACTGGAGGAGACATTCTAGCCAATTCTCTTTTTATCTTAAACCTTCCGTGCACAATTCATGGAAACTTATCACCTTATACAGACTTTCCGATTGCTAAATGTGCGTCACCACCAATTCATAAGGGGGGGGGGGGGGGGTGGTGTGAGTGCATGAAAGGAGACAGCTTTGAGGAATGTTTCGTGTTTCTCATGTCATCTCATGGTCAAATAAAGGGAAGTGAGGGGAGAAGTCGTCCGAAATGTAGGGGGGAAGCACTGTTTGCTGTGTGAGGGAGCTTTGGCTGAGGAGGATGGATAGGAAACCAAACATTTGAAGTGTACATTTTAAGTGTACGTTGGAAGTGTTGATTCTAATCTCAGAATCACATCTTTTAAAACACGTTTACACCCATTGGAGTACATTTTGAGTACATCCTCAGTGTAATGATTGTACTGTACTGTGTATATGAACAGTATTAATACGTTTCGATTTAAAGCTTTCGTGACTGCAGGGATTCATATTCTTAGTTCTTTCGGTAAAGTCACGTAGAAGGGAAATAATAAAATATTGAAATTAAAACTATAACATTCTCACGACGTTTCGATTGCAACACTGATGATGATTGCTTGTGTTGCAATCGAAACGTCGTGAGAATTTTATTGTTTTATTTTTATTATTGTATTATTTCCCTTCTACGTGACTTTACCGAAAGAACCAGGAATATACTATTAATACAGTTAGCTACGTACGGTAGGAAAGAAGTGCAAGTTCAACGTACATATTACATTTGTGTGTGTACATTTTCATTCAAGTTTTAAATCGAATTTTTAATATTTTTCTTTAGAAACTGCTTCTTGGGGTTAGCTTATTGTTCTTCCTCCGCACCTCCGATTAGGACGGTCGGCTACGTACGGTGTGAAAGAAGTTCAATATACATCCATAAAATGTTAGATTTTTAAGGGTAAAATAAAGTGGGCTTCTACCTCACGTGCCCACGGGCAATTTAGTTGAGCACTCAGGTCTATCGTTTTGCGTCCTCAGTCTGCCAACTTGAGGGGCGACACTCACCAACCTCACCTGGCAAACATCCATACCAATCCTGCACATATTTTAGTTGGTTCCTATACCATCTTTGCTCAGCATCTTTATAGACATACGACACAAATTCAAGTTGTATTGAGATTAATGCTTCGCCCAAAGCAGGACTTTTAAGTGATTCCATTTGCACAGAGGTTGTGTGCTTTTTGCAAATGTTTGCGTATTGCTTTAAACTCGTGGTTTGCCGGCCCGCACTATTTTTCTGTTTTTACCACGGGGGTTTTATAATCATTTACAGATATGTTAAAAAAACAGGACGATTTGATTAGTTGGCTGCTGCTATAAATTCCCACATATGATAAGCCACTTCGATGGGCCATCATGTCTGGCCAGGTCGCCTTTGAATAAGTATAACCAGTAAAAACAAAGTTTTTCACTATAAATCCTTTATATACGTGGCGGCTAGAGTCCTCTCGTCCTCTGGCTTGAGATGGCTGCCACCTATGGGTCAGATGATTGCATTGCACCATTAAGCAATTGGTAATTAAATATAATATTTTTGTCCTAAAAAGTGTAAAATTTTGGAAACAAAATTTCACGAACATTAATTGTCACGCACAACGAGTCTGTGTGGAAAATGTCAGCTCGATTGGATTACGGGAAGTGGGTTAAAAAACGACCGAAAGATTTGCACGGTCCTAAGCAAGCAAGCAAGTGAACTTAATATAAAGGATTTAAAAATAGCTCACATCACAGTGGGCTTTAACTGGTACTGTAATATAATAAAATAAAGTCGTTCGTGATCTGATCCCATCTGTGAAGGATAAGATCCCTTACATGCAATACCCCGGCATCTATAAACCAAGCTGTGTCTGCGGCAGTAGTTACATTGGGGAAACTAAGCGACATGTCTCGTACCGTGCTCGTGAGCAAAATACAGATTTGAAACAAGGGAGGACCAATACCTCGGCTGTGGCTCATTATTGTTTAAATGCTGTTGGCTCACACGAAATTGATTTCTCTAAGACGAAGGTACTTTGCAAGCCCACTGGCTATCAACAAAGATTCGTTCATGAAGCCATCCATATATACAGACACAATTTCAACCGAGAGGATGGGTACAAACTCAGCAATCATTGCCACCTCCCGATGTTAGTTTTGTTTGACTAAATATGGGACAAGTAATTCCAGTTCCTGCGGTGTCACTCCTGCATTGGGCGTACCGCAAGTTGTTTGCGTCTACCTTTTTCTTGATTCTCCGATTTCACATTAACATAACCATCTCCGCTTGTCCCGATCCCAGGCCACTTGCGCCTCTCCCACTTCGTTCTGATACGCTTGGGCTATGCCCATTTTAAACCTTTAAAACAGCTTGCCTTTCGTGGATTCCCCCACCTTTTCCCACCTGATGACGATCGCTTGTGTTGCGATCGAAACGTCGTAGTTACATTTTTTAACCCATCTATGTGACTTTAGCGAAATACCCAAAGAATATGAAATCGTTGTGTTTTGTAAACGCGAAAGACCTGGGCTACTCTCGAGTGCCCCTGGCGGTGATAGGAGGTAGGTGTCCCACACATTTCAGCGACAGTTTGTCTATGTGTCTGACAAGAGAAGCGTTAGAATCTGGAGGACGGCTGCACGCGTTAGAGTTTGAGGTCTTGGATGCGTGAGGGCACGTGCGAGTGAGGAGCGGTGACCCAAGCAATATCCAGTTCGATTCCCGCTCACGACCAACAACAGTGGTGAATGAATATCTGTTTTTAGGTTTTTTCGGTAAAGTCACGTAGGTAAAAAATTAAAATTAATAAAAGTAAAATAAAAATAAAATTAAAATCACGACGTTTCGGAGGCAACACAAGCTTCCGTCTTCAAGTGATACAGCTATCGTGCTGTGACGGTTCCACCTGAAGACGGAAGCTTGTGTTGCCTCCGAAACGTCGTGATTTTTATTTTATATTTTATTTTACTTTTATTAATTGTAATTTTTTACCTACGTGACTTTACCGAAAAAACCTAAGAATATGAATCCTTGCAGTCACGAAAGCTTCAAATCTAGAATGAAAATCTGATTCGGTTCTGGGTCTCCCTAGGACTGGTCGACTCATACGCAAGTGTACGCATTGTGGGTTAACCCCCCTCCCCCGTCCATGCGTACGTACTAAATGGATGGCCCACTAACGTGCACAGGAGCTTTTTTAAAATCACGAACGCTATCGGAGTCTTCTTCCCCTGGCTGCTTCCATGAATAGATTACTTTGAAGGCATAACATGAATTTGATTAATGTATGTCTTCAATGGCACGCGGCTTTACGATGTTGATACGAGACAGAAATACATTCACGGTTAATTTGGTATGTTCAGTGACTGTAAAAGAACACTTTAGTGACCATTAAATAAATAAATCCAGATATTCTTAATCTACCGACGAATGAAGGGTCACGACGGACACATTTTCTCCCCCATACTTCACTACGCTGGGCAGTGCTTCTCATAAAAAACGATATTATTCATCCACTGATGGATGATGGCCTCTGGTTATCGGCCACACGACCGACTGCGATATTAGCCGTGGACGGGAATAAGACGAGGATCTGTGGGTTCATAGTGCAGCGTGCTAACCACTGTGCCACCGCTTCACCTAGCGTTGCCACCTTTTCAAAACCCGGACATATGACATGTGTCTTCGCCTCAAACTTGTGCAAAACACTGCAAAACAACATTCAAGACAACACGAGCAGATCTTGGTTTAAAACAAATATAATCCCCGAATACAGGTGCCAGTTCCCGGGCCAAAAACTAATTCCCGGACTATCCGGATCAAACCGGGGCAGGTGACAACCATAGCTTCACCAATGAGTGAACAACTGGGCCTATTGCTTCGAGATTTGAAGCTTTCGTGACTGCAAGGATGCATACTCTTAGGTTTTTCGGTAAAGTCACATAGGTAAAAAAAAATAGAAATAATAATGTCATGATATATTATTTTATTTCTATTATTTCTATTATTTTTTTTATTTTTAACCTACGTGACTTTACCGAAAAACCTAAGAGTATGAGCCTATTCATCACAAAAGCCAGCGAGGATTGCATCAGACGCATACAAGAGACCTCGTGGCGCAACGGTAGCGCGTCTGACTCCAGATCAGAAGGTTGCGTGTTCAAATCACGTCGAGGTCATGTATTTTTTGTTAGAATTTTTTTTGATCAAACATTTCTGCAGATTTCTTATTCCGTGACTATTTAAAAACATTCCTGCGGAGGGAGCTGGTAGGAACGTTGGGTTGCTCGGTCAAAGGCCAGGGTCAACGACGGCGTGGTGCATTCAATTTTTATCGGGTGAAGTCACTCGGGAGGATGTGCACGGCTGAGATGAAGCGATGGGATTCTTGCACGCGAGGGATGATCGGTCGCAATGTTGTGAGGCTTTCATCTGGTGGGCGATGTATAACGGCGAATACTTTGTGACGAGTTCATAAAAAGTACTTGCGAATCCAACCAATTTTTGAACGCTTTCACCACATACTGTACTGAATTTAGAAAGTAAAAAAAATATCAATTTCTCTCTCCAAACATTTCATGAAGCAGTACTCTTAGCTTTGGAAATCGATATGCATTAACAATATATTTTTTATTGGCTGCCAACCACTTATATTCGTACAGTTGGCAAGTATTTATAATACAGCTCATCAAAAGACCGAGCAAGTGGTCAAATTCAATAAGCCCCCAATAGATCCCAACTCCCGATGATCTTGTTAGAAAATTGCAAAGGCAGATAAAAAAAACCGTGGTAACTGGTCTCCGACTTAGAGGCACCAGAAAGGCAATAAAGCAACTTATGCCACATTCCCACGGTCACTTTGAAGCACAGAAAGTTGCATACACCGCAACTATTGGCATATGGCAAACGTCATAAAACGTCTGTGTTGTTCAACGATTGTCTATTTTAGCGACCACGTTAATCACACAACCCACGGGAGATTGCATCAATTGTACAAGAGGCCTCGTGGCGCAACGGTAGCGCGTCGGACTCCAGATCAGAAGGTTGCGTGTTCAAATCACGTCGGGGTCAAGTCGTTTTATTATTATATTTGGGTCACTTGTTTTCTTAAACCAATTACTTCCCGAGCCATGGTTTCCTCACTGTAATTATGATTACAAACACACTGGGATATTTAAAAAAGGTAACTACCCTGCTCTTGATATGTTGACGGCATGTCTCACATGTCAAACATTTTAATGAAGACATATTTAGGTGTTTAACTTGTGGAGGATCCGCGATTATATTTACAATGTGTAATATTTGAATGATAGAAAGTGACGCTGCGTCGTGACCTTGTGGGGGCAACGGTAGCGCGTCTGGCTTGAGATCGGCAGAGTTGCGTGTGCAATTCAAGTCGGGATTACTTGTGTGTCCAGGAAATTACCACTTAAGGGATATTTATTTTACTGTACTGATGATGACAAACAGGTATGATATTATGAAAACCAGAACGTTATCTTGACACTGTCTGTAGGTCTGTCAATAAATTAAGCCATTTTAGGTTCTAGATTTGAAGTTTTTGTGACTGCAAGGATCCATACTTTTTTTTCGGTAAAGTCACGGAGGTAAAAAATAAAGTAAATTATAATGAAAACAACTAAATTGAATCACGACGTTTCAGAAGCAAGACGGAGGCTTGTGTTGCTTTGAAGACGGAGGCTTGTGTTGCTTTGAAGACGGAGGCTTGTGTTGTTTTGAAGACGGAGGCTTGTGTTGCTTCCGAAACGTCGTGGTTTAATTTAGTTGTTTTCATTTAAATTTATTTTATTTTTTACCTTCCGTGACTTTACCGAAAAAAAACTAAAGTATGGATCCATTTTATGTTATCGTAATTTAAATATCACAAGCCACAGCTTCTATACAAGGTTAATGGGGAATTATAAACAACAACCTTAACAGTGAAGACCTCGTGGCGCAACGGTAGCGCGTCTGACTTCAGATCAGAAGGTAATTCGATTTAAAGCTTTCGTGACTGCAGGGATTCATCTTCTTGGTTCTTTCGGTAAAGTCACGTTGAAGGGGCAGAAACGTCGTGAGAATTGTATTTTATTATGTTTTATTTTTATTATTTTATTTCCCTTCTACGTGACTTTACCGAAAGAACCAAGAAAATATTTAATTACGAGGCCAAGTGGTATCGTTAAAGGCATGGAATTGTGTTTTTTGCAAAAATTCATAAAATAAATTCTCGCTTGCATCCATCAAGTGCGTTTTAAAGCCGCAGTTGCACGATAATGTGGGGGAGCTGCGGCGGGGTGGTTTGCGCACTCTGCAATGTGAACCTGGAGACCTGAGTTGGATCCCAGCCACAGCCAACATCAGTGGTGATATCTGAACTATTCTGCCCTCCACCACCACCACCTTCACCTACCTCCACTGACCAGCTTGAAGTATGGTAAAAGTACCCATATGACAGGCACGGCGTGGGGCCTTTGACAAATGACTGTAAATCATAATAATAGTGGTGAAACTATTATTACACGCTTTAATTTAACTCGCTCTGTCTGTTGTTGTCGTTGTTGTATCCTCAAATCTTGTAACTCAATTGTAACCCACTTCCCAATGTGGTATCGACTGCAAACTTGGTATACTTATGTTATACTGATGACAATACTATATTCTAGCATAAAAAATACAAAACACATATTTTTAAAACATTCTTTTTTATATGTTATGTTTCGGCTTGGCTCTAATTGTCCACGGTCAACTGACGTTGGCTGTAAATGACCACAGTCCCTTACGTTGTGGCAAGCTTCGTGGAGTTCTTCCATTACTAGTACGGTACTTTTCATTAAAGCGTGTTTTAAAAAAAAGTTTTTTTAAATAGTACTTATTTATTTATCTGTGACCTGGTCGATTTGTAACTTTTCCTCTATGTGGCTTGGATCTTCATTTTAACCGAGAATTTGGTTGATAATCGAACGGGTACAGACGGAGCGATGACAGATGGGCTCTCAGACAAATTGTCCACAGCATCGGCAGAAAAGAGAAATGTTGTGGACAGTCCGGATAGGAGACTGTGTCTGGCCCTCTATTCTGTGGACATACAAATAAAGGGCACCAAACTTTTATCTCACTTGCATTTTATATGCCATGCAAAGAGAGTCAATTAAATGTCAAACTTGAATCGTCAAAATTGGAATAAGTCAAATAAAGTTTAAAAAAATGTGAATTTAAACAGCTTTTTGCATTCACTAGTGACTTCGCTGAGATCAACTCGCCATAATTGAGAAATCAGTTTTAATTATGGGTGACTGCCCAGAATCTAACTCAATAAACAGAAATTTTGCAGAAAATAATTGTAAGTGATGAAAACAATGGATGATGATGGCGATAATGACGTTTTTTGTTACTTCTGAAGCCATCACCAATCGCTGCTATCAAGGCAGCTTCATCATCAGCAGAAATAATCAATCCACTGCTGGATGAAGGCCTCCCTCAAGCCATCACCATCTCTCACGGTCTTGTGATATAACAAAGTGGCTTACTAAGACAGGAACCCAGAGCTCGGCAAGAATGGGTATCATGATTCAGAAAAATAATACATTGCTGATATATGACGGCATCAACGGCATGGTTCTGATGACATCTTGACCTTGACCTGGTAATGAAATTTACCTTCACTGCACCTGTCACGTGTGTGGCGTCCTCAGTCGCCACTTAAACAAGGACATGTCAGAAGAAAACGAGGCGCTTTTTTCTGCACGTTTTTAATTTACAAAATCTTTCGTGTATATAAAAAAAGCCCAAGACATTTCATAATACTGTACAGACGAGCCTGCTCTTGCTATGGTTAACATTACAAAATGTACACGTAGAATAATGTTTTTATATATAGCATATTCTAAAAAAGAAAAGAAAAATCTTTAGTTCAATGTTACCAAGAGCAATTTAGTTGTTGTTTTTACAATATACAGTATTTTTAATTTCTCATGTATGCACACTATAGTGTGCACTGTGGTATGTGTACAAAGGGTAGCTCAACATGGTTCAAAACAATTTTTATAGTTTATATTATTTCTTCTGTAATTTATGATCTCTTCTGAGAACGACTTGAAAGTTGCAAATAATTTTCTGAGAGGACTGGAATAAAGCGTAAAAAAATAATAATTTAGCTTGTTACATTGAGAAAATGTTTGAGGAAGATGACAAAATATGCAGTTCGTAAAACATAAATTATTCATCAGCTGACTCAACTCGCCAATACACTGGCAGTGTTTTCGAGTGAAATGCCAGATTATATGGCTCAAGTTATGGCTACTTAATGCTTTTATACTTTGTGTGATTAACACACGACACATTTTATTGTAATTGACGGTAATAAAAAAACGATAGAATTATATTACCCTCATTTTACATTATGTTAACCAACCCTGACATCTTTCAATTGAACCCTACATTTTTCTTAGTTTTCCTTTACAGCATTTTAAATAACTAAACAGAAGTGACTTTTCTTGGTTGAAGGGATGAATTCGCCATAGATTGTTACGTACAATGCATGCATTCATCACACACTCCATGTGTTTTGGTCTCTCCCCCCGCTCCCCCACATCAAATTCAAGAGGACAAACACAGCAATTGAAATTTCCTTTCTTTTTTCCGTATTGAAATTATTATTATACAACTTTAAGATGAGCATGTAGGTAAAAAAAAAGCTTTACGGAAAGAAAAATCAAGTCCGGTGTGACATTGCCGTGTCTGTGAACGTCGGGAGCATGTATTAAGGGATGATATCTCGTAGATTTCATCCTGCCAAAATAAAACATCAACTAATCGGTTGGGCAATGCAGGGCAATAAATGTGTGAGGGGCATGTGCCAAGAGCATGATGTCACTGTGGCGTTCAGGCATCATCTACTCACTGAACAGTTAGCAAGGCTACCAGAGTGATTATGGCTTGCGGAGATCCAAACCATATGAACGCGGCCTTGATAATGGTTAACAGCATAAGCTAGGCACTTTGAACAACACCAAAGAGCTTCTTAAATTCATCGTGTTGTTCTATGAAATATAATGGAAGGGCAACATGGCTGCATATTAAAATATTACAATAATTTACAAATGACATTGGGATTGCAGACTGAACAAAAAAAAAACGATGCTATATACAGTAAACTTTTTATGTCCCAAAAATGAACGATTTTGTTGAGAAGATATGTACAAAAAAAAATTTGCAGGCATTGTATTGCTTTAGCTCCAGAATACAGTAACAGCATTTTTGCATTTTACAAATATTTTGTCATTCAATGACCACCAGGTGGAAACACGAGCTGCACAGTGATCATCTTTCGCACGCTTTGCCAAAGATGCTCTTCTCTTCACAACCTACGGAACTGCTGGTGGAAGCGATTTCCGCACATGCGGAAGACATCGATTAACCCAGTCTTTTCTTGGCACACTCTATAAAGTGGCTGCAATTCAATACAAAAAAAAAATCATTCCGAGTTCCTCCACAGTGCTTCCCGCGCTGTTACACACCAGTCCCACCTAAGGGCCACAGTTCAGGGTTCGCACAGAAGTTGGCGGAGAAAGGCGCGCAGTTGAAGTGCTCGCACCAGCGGCAATGCACGGGATAGAAGTAGAAGAGGGCGGCCAGCCCAGCGGGCAGTGCCAGCGCCGCGGTCAGTGCCAGTGCCACTTTCCAGGGGCGGCGGCGGTTGTGGAAGTGGGTGTAGCGGAGCGCCGGGCTCATGCTCCAGCCCACGTACGGCAGCACCGCGTACGCCAGCGGCAGCGCCGACACGAAGCCGAGCACGTGCGCCACGTTGTCCACCCAGGGCAGCAGGCCGAGGAGCAGCAGTAGCGCGGCGAGCGCCACTATCTTGGCGAGGGCGACGCACGGCCGCGCCATCAGGCGCCAGCTCTGCAGCAGCTCCACGAGGAAGCAGGCGAGGATGCCGCCCAGAGAGCCGGCTGGCCCCACCTGGGGGGGAATGGCAACGAGTGGGGGCGCAGCGTTAGCCGGACACGCTCGGTCATGCCACGCCACGCGCCACTGCACCGGTGGTGCGGCTATCGAGTGTGCAGGCGGTGCAATTGCGCCAGGGTACATGGGCCAGAGGGGCCATGGTGGGTGGGGAAAATTGGATAGGACTCATGGCAACCTCATGGCAACTGCTGCGATACACCACACTGAATGTGGGGCTACTGAAATGTGGGAGAGAAACATCGCGTTGTACCTCCGCATTGTGGGGCAGGAGGACGGCCGAGGCGATGCTGCCCGTCACGCCGCTCGTGACGTAGATGATCAGCACGCGCAGCGAGCCCGCCAGCTTCTCGAGGTCGCGCAGCACCGTCAGGTGCAGCACGCTGCTCACGAGGCAGTGCAGGATCCTGAGTGGGGGGACACCGAGAGAGATCTCTTACGACGCCACGCGATTCGCATTTAGAGAGCGTCCGCACGCGGAGGCCGTCCGCGCTGTCGAGCTGGGCGGACATTGCTCGGATGGGTGACCACTGTGCGCCAAAGGAGGCGTTCTGGCTCCTGCAGGGCTATGTGGTCAGCAGAGGGCATTGCAGCAAAAAGCACTGTTGTACTGTACTACGTGACAATGACTACGCTCGCCGTCGTTCCCAACCGGCACGAACCAACGTGGTGAATTGTGGTCAAATAATCTCCTCCAGCAGTCCGGCTTGTGGACGGCCTCATCCAGCAGTAGACTGGCAAGAAAAGGGCTGTGCATGATACATGTTTCGATTTAAAGCTTTCGTGACTGCAGGGATTCATCTTCTTGGTTCTTTCGGTAAAGTCACGTAGAAGGGAAATAATAAAATAATAAAAATAAAACATAATAAAATAATTATTGCGACGTTTCGGCCACAACGCAAGCAGGTGAAGACCAGGTCTGTCTCCCCGACAGACCTGGTCTTCACCTGATGACGGCTGCTTGCGTTGTGGCCGAAACGTCGTGAGAATTATTTTAATATGTTTTATTTGTATTATTTTATTATTTCCCTTCTACGTGACTTTACCGAAAGAACCAAGAAGATGTTACATGTTGTATATGTGCCCACATCTCAAGACATTTATCGTAATGAAAGAAACATTACTTTATAACAAAATTACAGCTGGATTATTCGGGTTGTGGATGAACATTATTGTAAAAATATATATTTAGATGGGCATGGATTGGTTCAATTATGAGTTGCTCCTCACTCGTTGAGGGTCAGTGACTCAGTGTCCACATACCCGCAAATAGGTCAGCAACGAAACCTATTCCTTAAAGATAAAACCAAGACGACACATTATTCGTCTTAACCCCAATTCTACGGCGGTAGACAATACATTGTTCTCCTAATGTACGTGCTTTGCATTATCCGCGTTTACGTTTCTACATAGGTCACCCCAACCCTCTCGTGCCTCTGGATAATTGAGAGTTTACTGTAAATGGGCGATTCCAAAGTAATGGAGTTCCAAAGTAATGGAAATTGCTGGCGTTAGAGATATGGCGATGGAATGGGTTCTTTTAAGTATTGCTGCAAATTGCTGTGAATGGGCATTTTGGAAAAAAAAAACGTTTCTATTCTTGCATATGATGGCAATATGCTGAGGAGATAAATGCCAACGTTGAGGGCTTTAGGACAGAGTGTAGCTCTTTCTATTCCTCTTCCAATGAAGGAGAGCAGAACACAGTGGTTTGCTGTATAGTGCATAGTTTGGGTGGCATGGCAACAGTGACACCACTGTGGCTGCTTTGCGTCTTTAATTTCCCATTTATGAAGGACATGTTTGCATCATAGATATAGAAAATGAAAATCCAAATGATGCTTGTGTCAAATCTTTTTTTAAGTTCGTCAGATCCCGTGTCCCATGCTTTAAATCCAATGACCGTGTCATTGATTAAATACATTACCTTGGTAAAACTTTACTCGACAAAACAGTGTTGGTAACATTTGTTACCTGCAAGGACGATGGGTTGTGTCCATGCTCTCACCCCGACCCCCCCCCCCCTTACTTACCCACCCAGGGTGGGATTTGACCTTGCAGCCTTTTGATTCGCAATCTCAGAGGTGACTGCGTCGTGTCTATTTGAATTTAATATGGCACGCCTTACATTAATGGCTGTAGAATGTAATTAATTAATAGGTGGAACATGTGCAGCGAATTATGCTGCCGTGGTTTAATGGGTGATGACATTTTGACTTTTCTTATTAACAGAGGTTGTCGGTTAAATTCGATTTCATGGCGCGGCAGTTGAAACAATGGGGCAAGCGTCTTTAACCTCCTCAGCCTCTGTCCACTGAGCAGTATAAATAGGTACACCAGTTGATTATCAGGTCGCGTCTGGTGGGGTATAGTGTGGGTAGTCAGACCTCTTCGAAGACTTCAGGCCAGCGTGCGAGCCTCACGTGACTTTACCGAAAAAACCTAAGAGTATGAATCCTTGCAGTCACGAAAGCTTCAAATCTAGAATCAGCGTGGAAGAGTAGGCCAAATAATGGTCTCTTGAGAGGTTATCTCTAGCGGAGGCCCTTCTGCCATCAGTGGTGTGAACAAGAAATTTCAGGACTGCACCTTTAAGATCGTTTCCTTGTAACTGATGATGTGTGGGTGGGAATACAAGGGGGCTGAGAGAGACGAAGAGAAACCAAAGGGGTCTCGTAGCCGTTTCTCCCACGTACCCCGCGTGCAGGAACAGAGACAGCCACAGGCGGTAGATCTGGTCAGGTACCTCTGGACTCAGGAAAGGAAGAAGCCCACACGCATCCTGCATGCAGGTCACCTGTTCAGGGCAGAATGCACGCACACACGAACGCACAAGCGTACACACACACGCACGAACAAACGCACATACACGCATGCACGCAACACGCATGCACACATGGGCAGACGAGTTCAGCATTGTCTCATATACTGCGATATAATTTTTCACTAAATAAAACGATACAAAATACATACTCTTTGGTTCTTTCGGTAAATTAAACAAATTAATAATATTATTTTTATTTTGTTTTATTTTTCTACTTACGTGACTTTACCGAAAGAACCAAAGAGTATGGATTCCTGCAGTCACGAAAGCTTCAAATCAAGATTGATACAAAATACATTTTAACGATATAACAAATATCAGCTTAAACTTAACTTTACAATTTTATTTTGTATTTGTATTGTTTTTGTGCTTTGTTATACTTACAGTGCAAACAAATATAATTTTCTAAGTGCTTTAACTAAGCCTGCCAGAAGTGTTCGAATGATTGACACTTTATAATCTCAACCATTATCATGCTTGCTCTGTCAATTACACAAGAAATAACCAATTGAATATGGGTAATGTTAAATGGATAATATAGCTGTAGCAAATTCTGTATATCTTGTCAGGAAATAAAACATAAAAAGTAATGATCTCACAATATTTAGCTAAACGGGTGATATTATTACCGTCGACCTTATTTTGCATGACATATCGGATCACATTACAGTTGCCACATTCCAGCAACCATAACGTGTAGCGGACACAATTTGTCGTCGTCCACATGACAAATACCGTGAAAACGCTTGACCTGCTGAATGGGAAACTGTATTTGCAAGTCGCGCTAATGGAGCAAATCCACTTCAAGTACAGAGTCCGTGAGTGTCCAATTAATGAAGCAATCGGCTCAGCAGTAGGAGTGGCGGTAATCCCGAGGTTGAATTGCCTCGTTGCATTCAAGTGCTCATAGGGGTCAGAGCACTGGTACGATGCTCGTGTGCATGACGTATCGTCGATAGCAGCCCATTTTTCCGCTATCAAAAGCCAAGGTGTCTCCCTTGCTCAACCAAGCAGGAGTCATTGGTTATCTGCACGAGCAGAGCTGAGTCAGTTTTAGAAATTATACATTCATACGAGAGGGGGACAAGTCCCTCCGAAGGGCAACCACTGACATGAGCCATTGGCCGAGAATCAAACTCAAGCCATCAGGTTCACAGTGCAATGTGCCAAACATTCAGCTACCGCTCCCCTAAAGGGCACACAATCCAACATAACCTGATAGGCATGCATCAGTATCAATGGGGGTTTGTAATAGTAAGGCTAAAGCGTTTACACAGCGAGGACGGTGTGATACATGAGAGCCCATTATCTACAAATTACCCAATTGGGATGAAACGAAGCAATCATCGCCACCTACTGATTGACCCTCACCTGGCTAAACAAAACACAACTCGAAACGGCAACATTTCTGACAAGCGCGCATTTTGCCTTTAACCCCGTTTCCACGCATTTCAACCGAGACTTTTTTTTCGTGATAAAAAACGAGGTGCATGCTGGGGCGCGGAGCAGCGCTGGGTAGGACGGGGCATCGCGTCTCACCTGCGAGCACAAGCTGGCCTCGTCGTGGAAGTATCCGCGCATGAAGTCGCAGTGCTCTCGCGTCGTTAGCTCGCACCTACGGGGAGCGCGGGAATATGACGCACGCTCATCAAAACCATCACGTGAACTCCGGTCATCCTCGCAGCAGCAGCGGCAGCTTTGGCCGGCCATCGAACAAAGACGGTCACCGCATCGAGCGCTTTCAGATGCGCTTCTGCGGCAGTCTGGAACGCTCTTCTTTCTGGCACTAGGAATCCACTGGACCTGTGCACTTTTAAATCTAGATTGAAAACTAATTTCTTTAGATCTGCTTTTTGTGTTTAATTTGTTGCCCTTCCACCGCACCTCCGATTAGCACGGCTGGCTCCCTACAGTGCGAAAGAAGTTCGACATAGATATATTCAGACATGGGACTTTACAACACGAATGCACATCCCATGCCAGTACCCTTGTAAAATAAAAAACAAAATTTTTTTTTAAGTGGAGAGACAAATATGTAATGTAATGATGATTAGTTTTTATATAGCGTCGTTCATGCCAATTGCATCTCGCAATCGCTGAGCAACTACAGGCTGGAAGGCTGCCAGGCGGTGAGCCGACACCAACAATTACTCTAGAGTTCTTTATATATTAAGATGTTTTCAGCCGATTAGTGAGTGGGAGGAAACCGGAGCACCCGGAGGCAAAACTCTATCCCACACAGCCGGGACAGATGAAGTCAGTCCACGCTTTCTGTACTGCATTCTGCTGCCAAGCCATTGCCCGAATCGTCGCCGATTATATCTTTTTCATTCAAAAGCCACACTGTAATGACGAACGTGTGTGATTTTTTTTGTTTTGTTTGCATGTATGTATATGTATAAACGGATTAGCTTCGATCAAAAACCGGAGGCCTATTAGAGGCAGCTTCAATTGAAGCCTGGGGCCCGCAGCAAACACGAGCGACCACCGCGCTCACCTGCCCTGAGTGCCGAGGCAGCAGGGTCTGCCCGTCACCTCGCAGTCCATGTGTGGCAGCTGCGTGTGGTTCCCCGCACTCTTCTTCACGCAGATCTGAGGGTGCCCGGCAGAGCACAACCGAGACAGCACGGAGGTTGAGCTCCACGCTCGGACGAGCGCCAAAGCGGTGCTAATTCTATCAATTCTTGAAGGAGGATGAGGTGATTGGACCCAACACTCCCCCCACACACCCTGCACTGGGAATTGAACTGATGAACTGACATCTTTTTTACAAGGAGTCATGCTTGCATTGACCACAATACCTGCGGTCGGAATGCAAACAAAAAACACAACTCTGATAATGTATGCATTGTCCTTGAAATTGATTGGTCCACATCCGAGACAGCTTTCCATAGAGCCTAGTCTCACATGGTGTTGGACCAGATGACGCCAAAAGGCGCACAACTCAAAGACAATGCACCATCAGAGTATAAAAAAGGTGTCAGTTTTGTTGCCAGATAAAAGGTAAAAAATCACAATTATCATATTTTGCTACTGACAAAGGAGGTTCCAATGGTGAACTGATGAACCTTCAAATTGTGAGTTACTTGCGAATGTGGTGCCTTTGCACCATCATACTATGTGCCTGTAAATATATACCAACATGCATCCACGCATGTGTATGTTCATTCGATATGCGTAAATTCAGTCTGCCCAAGAACTTGTTTTTTCATATTGTCAATGTAGCGGCCACGAGTAGCTTGAGGGGTAATTAAAACCCATTACCTATGTAACTTACACACACCGGAAAGAATCAGTTATTCCACGTGAAATTCAATGCGAGCATCACGAGCTCGAAACTCGATGTTAATCACTTCATTGATGGGTCGTTGCTTCGATCGTTTGGCGTTGCTTCTCTCGAACTGCGGACGGCCCCGGTGTTGAATCACTCACCGGCCACTCCGTGATGTTGTCCGGCCACTCGTGCGGCAGGGAAGACGCGGGCTCCTCACAAACCCTGCACGGCAACAGGGAACCCAGCCAAGGGAAGTTGAGTAAAAGTCAAGTCAACGCATGTTGTTTCCTGTGTGTGTGTGCTGAACCTCTTTTAGCACCGTGTGGAGCCAACCGCACAATATTTCAGAAGCTAAGCAGGAGTGAGTCTGGGTAATGCATTGATAGGTGATCACCACGCATGCCTTGGTTGTCATTGGCAGCAGCGGGGCCTATGCTACACTGTGGGCAGCAGAGGGCGTTGCAGCAGAATGAATTATTGTACTGTATTTCTATGCTACGACATCAACGTAATGCAGTCCATCAACTCTTTGTTTCATGTCAGAGTGATCCCTTTACCAGTCACAGAGGGACGTTCCTTCGTCTCAGGACATGACTGATAATACGACAATTGAGATATATTTGGTGAAGGATAAAAAAATATACGGCATTCATAGGCACTGGGTGAAGAAACTTGCCCCAAAGGTCGTCTACCGCGGTGATGGAGCTACATTAAATCTGCCTGTGTTTAGGCGTTCGATGGATTGCTAAAACAAAGGACGATGAGATATGGGGAGGCCTTAATGCAATAGTGCATGTGATGATCGCTGATGATGATGGTGGGGGAAGGTGTGGACCATACCTGGGATCCTGACCACACACAGCTCCTGATGTTCTGGGTCTCTTGTCCTCCATTAGCAGTGGGCTTGACTCTGGCCACTTAATCCAATTTTCCAATGTTTTCTGGAAAGAAAAGCCATCACGATAAATGTCATTTGCCCCCCCCCCCCCCTCAATTGTATTATAATTTACACAAATAAATATTTCCCAGGAGTGTTGAGTCTACAATGGTAGAAGAATCCCCATGTAGGCAACGCAGGCTGTTGGGGCAAGTGCTGTGAGCGAGCATCTATGAAGATCTGGCACGACGCGCAAGGGGGTGGTGTGTGGCCAGCACCACGCTCGGCCACCTTTGTTTCCCCAAGTGCTGATGTTTACACACCGCACCACGTACTGATTTAAGACCGAGTTGATCTTTGGGAAAGCCTACGGCTGATTCAGATAATCGCCACTGATCTTAGCCACAGCCGGGAATTAAACTGGGACCCGCCGGGTTCATTGCAACTTTCTTAATTGACCAATAAACATTTAGCGGTCGTAGATATAAGTAATTGGAACAGTAAAGTAATACATTCCTCAATATATGTAAAAAAAAGTAATAATTAGTCGGCATTTGAGCCTATGGGGTCAGTTTAATGGGATGACCTACATTGCTGAAAGGCAACATTTTAACTCGCCCGCAATTTATATTCTCTGTCTCAGCATTCCGTGCATCTGCGTTAACCTTATCCGAGACAGTTTGATACATACACGCCACCAGCAGGGACGTAGTCTGCGATAAATCACAACCACCGCTTTATGTAAATGCATCGGACCATGTTGCGGCCTATAAATAGATCCAAAGCACAATGACATTTAGGGCACTGACACTTGAACTGACAGCCCTTGAACAAACGAGAGACTGACACCGTGACGGATGATAAGTGGATGTGACAGTGCTTGCCTGTGTGTGTGTGTGTGTCAGTCAACCCATGACACCTGGGTCTGTTCCATCACCTCCTGCCAGTGGGCCTACGACACTTCACGTGGCCTCAAAGTGCACCTAGCATGGCACAAGTGCCGCGGTGGTATCACCGCCAGTTAGTGGCGAATGGCGGTTGTTGTTGTTGTGGACGTGTGTTGGATGATTGCGACAATATTGGAGAGGCTTGTCGACGGTGACACTGAGGAGATGGCTGCAACACCAAGAGGCGGAGGAGTGTCGGGTGGATCAAGCACAGCAAATACGGATAGCATAGACACGGTGGAGCCCTTTGCTGGATTAATTCGTTAAGGCCCTGGTGCATGGTAGAGTTATAGGAACCTCCTAAGAGAAGACTGACCAGCACAATTGAGGGGGAACGGAGGAAATTGCTTTCAGTTGTCACGGGGTATCTAGGTAATTAACCTCGCATTCAGGGGCTCCTGCAGAGAAGCTGCCTTTGCCTACATCTGTTATCTGTTATAAAGTGAATTCACAAACAAATTTTAATTAATAATTCACTCATGAATGCAGGCCTCGCAATCTGTCAATCATTAGGCTTGTTTGACCATGTTGATCGGTGGAGATTGATGAAAGGGGACTCTGATGAATCGTTTGAGATGTCACTCACAAGTGATATTAGCCACGACCATGAATCAAAACTCGCTGGGACACGTGGTTAGCTGGCAGCTCCTCTAACCAACCGCCAGCCCCGCCCACTTCTACATAACCACGCCCACTCGACAGCTATCTCCGGCCACAGTGAGCACAGACGGGGCCTGCTGAACGAGTGGGTCATCCAAAGCCCCACTGCATCGACCAAACCAGGATGTTTGTCAGTTTTTGTTTCCGTGTGCGCGGTCTCACCGAGCACTCGTCGCCGGGCGTCTGCACGCAGCCCGAGCCGTCGTTGCGCACGCAGCAGCCCGTCAGCGTCTCCTGCGCCCGCTGCCGCGCCAGCGTGTCGCCGAGCGCCGCGTCGGGGCGCATGCACGGCACGAACTTCGCTCCCAAGTGCGCGAGGGCCTCCTGGGGCGGAGCGGTGTGCGTGCAGCGGAGAATCAGTCGCCGCGGGGCGCAGTCACACGCGCACGCACGCATGCACAAGCATGCATGCATGCGCACACGCACATGCATGCATGCGCACACGCACAACAGCAACAACCGCTATTCGTCACTAAGTGGCGGGAGACGTCACCACAGAGCTTGTGCCAGGCTAAGTGCATTTTAAGGCCACGTGAAGTGTCGAACGCCCGCTGGTTCACGGGACAGAACCAGGTGCCATGGGTTGATTGACTGACACGAACGCACGCGCATACAGGCATGTACACATGCGCGCACACACGCAGGCACGCACACATGCACACACAGACAAAACGCGGTCGTTGCCATGCATTCCGTCATCAAGTGTACACATACGCACGTACGGCCCTATTGTAAATCCACTGCTAGATGAGGGCCTTCCCATGCTGTGTACAGCTTGGGAGTTATTTGATCATACTTCACCACGCTGGTCAGTGTGCTTTGGTGTAGGCGGTGAGCATGGATGTGGGAGCGTGGAAATGTCAACGTGTGTATGTCAGTGGTTGCGTATAATAACGTGTTAAAAAGACATTCCTGCAAGAGCACGACTAAATAAATAAACAATCTTGACATTCTCAATCCACCAATGGACGAAGGCTCCCCCACATCGTGTTGTTGGTCATGGGATTTGGTTGACCGTGCCCCCCCCCCCCCCCCAGTGTGGGTTGGCGAACGGGTGGGGAGGGTGCGTGACTGGCAGAGAGAATCGCTTCTGGCCACGGGTGTTCGCCGTGGCCGGGTCGCAGTGCACTAACCTTTGCGCCACCACTCCAAGAGGTAATATGCGCCGTATATCCACTTGTTCACGAGAGAAGCAATCGGTACCAATGGACAAACTTTGCGCGTTATAAACGGACGAGTGGGAATGGAATTGCCCGAAAGTGCACACTTACCGAGCTGGGTCCGATCCAAAAGTTTTGCCTCTGGTCATATATCACATCTTCATAGGAGCCTTTGCTCCTGAGAATCTAAATCACACAGAATACAGCAGAATGCACGGTCTTAAAGGGCCACGTCAAGTGTCAGTGTTGGGCTGTCTAGAACTGTGTCTTACATCAGCCATACGAAAGAAGAAGCAATACAATCGAGGGGTGACGTGGTCTCATTTATGCGATAGAATAAAACCACATTGATGTGACGTGGTCAGTAAATAATAACCACAGCGTTGTTAAGAGCGCTCGAGCATCAGACACCCAATAGTTGGTGTGGTGGCGGCACTCACAGTGGCGCTGGTCTGCTGCTGCGTGAAGCCGATGGGAGCGAGGCCGTAGATGGTGACGGTGAGCACGGTAATGAGCACGTGCACAAACGTGACCCAGTAGGTGAAGTACGCCCTGCAAAGGACGCACGGCACGATGGTTAGCGGAGACGCGTCGACACTGACTCCACGCGGCTCATTCATTCGTCAGCAACGTGGCCGAGAGGCATGTGCGAAGGCAGAACATGTGACCTTACTGCCAGCGGGACTATCTGCAGACACGAGCTACAAAAAAAAACATGTTTTTATTTGATCAGGTAAGACCCACAGCTCTTTTGCCCTTTTTCAGAAGAGACCTGCCCACAAATGAGAGCTCAATGAAGTGGCTTATCATGTGGAAATGTATAGCGGCCAAATACTCTCAACACATGTTTCTAAATGTGGAGAGAAAAACCGGAGGACTCGGAGAAAAATCTACGTGATCACGGGGAGAATACGCAAACTCCAAATTTCGAGGTGTCAGGGTCAGGATCGAACCCATGATCTGCTGCATACCAGGCAAGGTAGTTAACATCTCGTCACCGTGGCGCTCCACCATAGCTGCAGACACGAGCTAGCTGAGGACATTAAAAGATCTGTGACCCATGCAATGTGGGTGTCTTAATTTAGTGGCTTCACCAAATACTAAATCGATGAAACACACCCTTTAAATGGCAAACTCCATTCCAATTTCAATGAAGACATTACCACCTTGGAAATTCCACTAATGATTGCCATCCGATTCTTAGGCTCACGATGCACGCATCAATTCACGTCACGTGGCCTTTGCAGGGACTCGTGGCGCCCACATTCGCCGCAACGCTCAAAACAACGAACCGATTCTTGAAACGCACCGCGACCCGGATTCGTGAGAACTCAGCTTCATCAATCGATACATGTAACTTTTTTTAGGCTTCGTATTTATTTTGTCGCTTCCATACACGATGGATGCACTATCCCCCCCTGTGGCTTCATACTGAACAGGTAAGCCGAGGTGGCGCAGCTGCTGCTGTTGTGCACGGGCATTTCCAGCAGATGGCAACAAAAACACAACAAACACAACGCACCCGTTTGTCACGCGTCAATGCCTTGCATAGATTATTTATGACCCTGATGTACGACTCTGTCGTATGCGTGACCGCAATACTTTTGAAGAAACTCGGACCTTTCACTTCCATTAGGGGATGATCGAAACTGTGCTGTTCAATAAAGTATTGTATAACGATTACGGTACGTTGATTCATGAAGGCCTTGCACTTTAAAAAGAACCCCAAGAGGATTAAAGCTCAACGAGCTGTTAAGTCCTCGTACACAGTGCAGCCATGAACAGACAAACAATATGTGTTGTATAAGGTTAAGTTCAAGAGGTCACTGCAGCCAATGCCGTCGATGTTACCACACCCCGCCATCGCTTGCTTCATTCATTCTGCTAGATCCCTTGTCTGCTGCACAGCCGTGTGTACATGTATGTTGAACTTCTTTCGAACCGTACGGAGGCCCACCGCGCTAATCGGAGGTGCAGGGGAAGGACAGCAAGCTAAACACATTGAGCAGTTCTAAAGAAATGAGTTTTTAATCTAAATTTAAAAGTGCATTTCTCCAGTGGCTTCTGAATATCGGAAGGAAAAGCGTCCCAGACGGCCGCAGAAACGCTTCTGAAAGCGTGCAATGCAGTGACCGTGTTTGTTCGATGTTCGAGCCAGTCGATTCCCTGATATATCAAAGTCTGCTCGAACAGGCTCCTACCGTAAGACTTCAGGCCTACCCCACTGGCCCTCTGGGTGCCACTCCGATGGCTTTGTCGGTGACCTACCCTCCTCCATCCTGAAAACAAGCCCTATGTTTCACAACCTGATTTTCTCGAATACACCCCACGCTCTCTTGCCACGTTTGTTTCTGAGCTTCCTGGTAACGTAAGCGCTCCTCCTGCCGTGAAATTCCAAGCGTCTTGCGTAAGATTTTTTTGTTCAAGTCGCTTTGTCAAAGTACAGCTCTCTGATCCGTGAAGGAGTATGCACACATTACTCAGTCCCCAAACAAAACATTGATGTGTTTATATACGTGACAAAAACAAATGCACTTGTGTAGTATTACCTGTCAGATAGATTGCGGTCTACTTATGTTGAATTAACATTAAATATATTTGTGGTGAAGTGGAGGCACGGTGGAGCGGTTGGCACAGCGAGCAGCGCCCTACATTATGAGTTTGATTCCCAGCAACAGTTTTTGTCGCGATAATGATGATGGTCATGATGGTGGTGATGGTGGAGGTAGTGATTGCAGGTACGACGATGACAGCGGAGTACATTGACGACGACGCTGATGCAGGCCGCTCCCCGCACCTGTGATCCCCAAAGTCCTCCATCTCGTGGTGCCGCTCCTCGTGCTCCCGGCTGGTGAAGCTGCCGCTGCGCCGCACGCTCGCGTGCCCGGCGATCCGGCCCAGCAGCCCCGTGCCGTAGCCGTGCCCATGAGCGTCGCCGTGCCCGTTCGTCGGGCGCAGGTCCTGCAGCACCAGCGAGCGCACGACGGGCGTGATGCGCTGGCCACGCGGACGCCCCACGCTCACCACCTCCTGCCGGAGCGGCACCTTGGGCTGCACGGGGGTTCCGCCACCGCCGCCGCCGCCGCCGCTGCCAGTGCCGCCACCGATGCCGCCGCTGCCGCCCCCCTCAAGGCTCTCGCGCTGTTTTCGCCAGCCCCGCTCCATGGGGCTGTCAGGAGCGAAGGGGAGAGAGACGAGAGGAGAGAAGCGGGACGCGGGTCACAGGCTGCTTCCGGGTGGCTCAGGGGGTCAGAGACGCCGACATCCTAAGTTCGAATCCGGACACACACCTCAGGTCACACTGGGCTCTTAAAGTGGAGCGAGCTGATGGGCTCTCAGCCTGGTCAACCGACGCTTGCACACCAAAAATACACGATGCCAATTTTGCCTCACGTGGCTTATTTCCCGCTCTGAGATTGAACATTTCTATTTGATTGACTCGTGAACAGCACGCTTTGGCCACAGAAGATAAAAGGTCTGCTCATAGTGTGGATACACGGAACTTTTGAAGTGACCTCAAAAGGAGTCATGTGACATCCCCTTCCAGGGCCGTTCTCTTGCACAGGGTTGATGCACTGCTGGCTGCAGAGTTTGGAATGGAAACGAACTCGACTATTAACCCCGAAGCGATTGCTCAAGCACCATGGCGTGTGGAGTTGCGAGGTGAAGAGGGGGGGGGGGGAGCAGCATTGAACACGATGGATGGAGCTGGAGCCATGGACCTGCCGTTGGGCAGAGGGAACTCTAGAAGAAGATCATTTGCACAAAGCTACACTTACACAACGTGACTTCACATTCGGGCTCATACGATGAAACAGCGAAGCCAAAGTGATTGCACGAACAAGTGAGCGTTGAGTGGGCCTCATCGCCATTGGTCGTAAGAAGCCCATGGCAGCAAATATTCCGTATGTCTATGGTGAGGATCAGTCTTGCCGCAGGACAGCCTCGATTCATTTTCCAAAATGCGGTCTTCTTTTTTTAGCCACCAAGGATTGGCGACGGACTGAGTCGCCTCCGGTCAGAATTTTCCTTTTTCGAATCTCTCCAATCGTGAGTAAAGTGCTTCGTCAAGGTTCAAACTGGCTGCAACATGCTGCATTTGCCCAACCGAGCTGAAAAAAAATTAATCTCGAAATGACAACGCAACACTTTGTAGGACTCCCACCACAAACACAAAGAGTAACTGTGAGTGAAAAACTGCATTTAAAAAAATATCATGTGGCTTCTTGGACCAAAAAAAATAAACAAACAAAACAGACAAGTGTCTTGTTTCATCGCCACAAAAAAAAAGAACTGCCTTCTGGACAAATGTTTTCCAGCAGTTTCAACTCTGATGCCAAGCAACACAGCTAGCATTGATGTACCAAGCCACACCCTGCTGACAGGCCTCAGAAGAGGTTGAACCGATTCCAGGGTGTGCCTGCTTGAAAAATGCGATGCGAGTAAATGATGGACCTGAAGGCCTTACGACATGTATGCATGTACTTTGAACTTCTTACGCACCTTACATAGTGCCAATCGGAGGTGCGGACACGAATTACAAAAAAACAAACAAATCCCCTCTAACGTTATCTCGATTGCGATATCCAGTGTCGCTTCATGAGGCCGAACATCCGTTTGGATGTCTTCTGCCCAAAAGTGCAACCCAACGTTAGAGAACAGCGGGTGGAAGCGGACTTCACAGAGCTACCGCTGAAGGAGTATTTGTCTGTTTGTCTGTCGTGCATAGCCACGCCCTCGATTTGTATTTCATAGAGCGCTTCGGGCGGGCTCAGCACCACGTGACGCGCCGACCCACGCAGCTTGCGCCGCGTGACACGGATCGCACGAATGCGCTGTCCAACCAAGTTCCTACCTGCCCACTCCGAAGGAACGTGTTATATTTGCGCGATCTAACAAAAAAAACCCTCTATTATGGATAATGGACTTCTCATGGATAATGTACAACTATTTATTTTTTATTTTATGGCGATATCACAGACACTTGTATTTTATTATTATTAATGTGTGACTATTTCTCACACGACTGCACATAACATATATGTAAAAATGAGTCACTGATGTCATTTCATGATTGAGGTGGTGATATTGCAGAAAGCGTGACTCATAACTGAACGTCTGCGAGTACAAATGGCAGTCAAAGGCCAAATCAGCCAGCCCATCGGCCCACGGAACAGTGCCTCCCCCACTCTTCTGTAAACACGAGGATACTAGACTTTGACTCAACTTTTCCCTGCAAGTTAAATCCACATTGACAACTCTCGCCAATTCCGTGATGACTATTTAAGGTGCCTTATGGTGCGAACGAGGCTACGTTGTGGCCGACAGAGTTCGGTGCAGACAATCCACCGCTGTGCTACGGCACCATGCTCCCACATTTACGCTTTCCGCCTTCTCCAACTCGCATGGACCAGCGTGGTAGACTATTGTCAAATAACTCCCGGGACCCGCACGGAATGTGGAGGCCTTCATCCAGCGGTGAATTGACAAAGAGGGCTGTACATACATGTGCCACCTCATACTACATAAAGTGTACGTTCCGTGTATACATCTGCTGATTTCAATCTACAATTTACATGTTGCGTTTGCAATGTGACACATTAGTGGCACTCACTTCAGCCCCGTGCCCGGCTCATCGCAGCACACGGCCACATTGATTGAAAAAAAAAAGAGTGTGGTTCGTGTACTATACACGGTATGAGCAGGTTCTGGGTAAGCGTGACCGGATACTCACAGCATCTGACGGGTGCTCTCCAGCTGAGCTGGGTCCAGGGCCGACCCCGTCAGTGCCGAACCGCGGTCCACTGAGTAGTCCGTGTTCTGCGCGTCCTTGGGTTCCCCCGGGTACGGCCTGTCCTCCAGAAAACCCTGCGAGTGCTCCTGCACACGCACGGGCAGCGAGATTCCTCGATTAGTCACGTCACACCGTCCAAGCCACCATGCCACGGTCTTGCCGAACAACAAACCATGCCACAGCCATTCGGTGCAACGATGCGTGCCGTGCCACCTTATCCGTTGCACCGATAACAATGTTACAGTACGTCATGCCACCCCGCATCATGCCACACCACCTTAACATACCACGGCCTTGCTGAACAACAAATCATGCCACAGCCATTCCGTGCAAGAATGCATACCATGCAACCTCACCCCATTCCTCAGAAAACCAGACGACACTGCACGATGTCACCCCGCATCACACCACACCACCCCTAACCATACCACGGCCTTGCCATCCCAGAGAGCACACCGTGTCAAATCGCCCACCACCCAGCAGTATAAAAGGGTACACCATAGTCAGACAATCGGCAGGTCATATGCGTTGGTGTAAAGTGCGCTCCAACCTCTTCCTAAACGTGGAAGAGTAGGCCAAAAAATACCCCCTAGAGTGGTTCTCAAGAGCTCCCTCTATTGAAGGCCCTTCGGCTACGCAGTGCCGTGAGCGACCATATTCCGGATTGCACCTTGATCTTTTACAACTATTATTTTTTGCCGTCCGCACGGACATCCTTACACTAATATGTGTATCCATGGCTCACCATGTTGAAGAAGGCCGTGTCCAGGTCGTCGATACAGATCAAGTACTCGTCCTCGTGCAGGATGGAGGGTGCGAAGCTCCTGCGGTTGGGGTTAGGCTTGGAGAGCTTTCCATCCCACTCTGTGTGGCCCTGCAAAACAGCGCGCCGTTTCAGAATATAAAAGATCCATTACCACTGTGAGCGAGATCACATGCGTCGATTATTATGAATCACGGGAATGACCACAGCCGCTTGTTAATCCACTGCTGGCTGGATGAAGGACTCATGTGCTGTGTCTATAACGGAGGTTTGTTTTGGCCGTACTTCTCCCGTGCGGGTTAGCGGAGGGAGAGGAGGCGAAGGACCCGTTCAGGCGTCACTCGCCATTCAATAACCGCTGTAGCGTCGAGGGCTAAGCACCCCCACCCCGCCCCTCCCCTGCTAAGGGCTCACCCCCCACTCCACCTCTTCTAAATTCTTCAAGTAAAAAAAGATGTTGGTACAGCCCTTTTCTCCTAAGAGCTACATCAGAATGCATCGTAGACATGCGTAGATCGTATCGTTACTCATTCCGTTTTAGCGTTTGACATTTGTTTAAAGTTTGTTCAACGCTTACCGTGTCGTGCCCCCCCCCCCCCACCCTGAGTTTTTTTTCGAGTCCCCCTTGTAACAAGGTCACACCACAGGTCTGTCGCCACTGACGTTGTCCTGTGGGTCAATTGGCTTTTAGTCATGGGGCTGTGGAATTTTCACCACTTTTTCAGAATTGTCAGCGCAGATGAGCACTGGCCAACCAAACGATACTGCATTAAAAAAAAAACCTTTACTAAATATATCCTGCTACTCCAAACAATCGTAATGAGAAAATAAAAAATGGGATGCTCCAATGTGGCCAAAATTGAAAACATGTGTGCACAGCCTCGTAAGTGCTGATTAGAGAAAGTTTACATTACCGGTGGGATTTAGAAGCCAACCTCAGTGTTTTCCATTGGCTGAGGCATTCTATTAACCAAATGGGGGGTGGGGGGGGGTAGTTTTAAACAAACAGATGTTTTGTAATTATGTCCCATGATGACCCAGAGATTTATTTTCAGACAGTATATGGTAGGCAAAATTTTTCCCATGTAATGTCCCACCCCCTACATTTTTTTGCGTGTGTTCGACGAAAAATTCTATTCCCAGAGTGGGTGGGGGAATGTTCCTTCACAAGAAACAGATCCTGACCCCTCTCAGGACCAAACTGGAGCCAAGCCAGCCGGGAACTCCAGCCAGTAGTTATCTGCTTCATTCCGACTGTTTGTGATCAGCCATAAATAGCCCACATTGCTGCTCCCTCTTTTAACCGGGATGACCTCAGAACCAGTCATGACATCATGGAATCACAGCGGCATAGGCTGGCATCCAGGCATTCATCTCTCACTAAATATTTTCCACGTGTCTGGTAGACTGCATTAGGTGGCATGCGATGCGCAGCCACAGCCATTCCATGTATTGACATGCAATGATTGGCCGAAAACATGTTGATATATAGAGGACCGCAGAGCTTGGCCAATTGTTGCTAATGGCTCACTACCTAGCTGTCTTCCCGCATATATGCGGTTCCTCAGCGATTGTGAGATGAAATTTGGCATGAACGACGCTATGAAAAAAATAAATTGTTGACAGATATACTGGACGTGATGCACCGGTGTATTCATATTTTCCAGGTCACTGGTCTGGATAAACACGATTGAAATGAACCCCTTTGTGCATCAATCTGTTAAAATATCCTCAAATACAATTTACCAAGGCTTCCTGACCACCGCTCTCTGATTCTGCATTGCCATGATCACAGGGAAGGGTGCTTGCTTTGGTTTGCCGCTTGGTGAAGTATTGTCAAATAACCCCCCCCCCCCCAGCCAGCATGGATTTACCATACGGCTGTTCATGCACATACAGCGATCCCACGAGCTGATGGCTAAATATATTTCATGAAGCGAACCGAGCCCATGGAGCCTCTTGCGCTTTCTGCATTTTATGCAATGAGATCAAATCCCAGCTCTGACCCTGGGCTCGTAACGCACGCCTGCGTTGTGAGTTTGCGGTGTCTCTCTCTCTCCACGTGGTCGCATGGATTTTTTCACCGGGTCTTCCGGTTTTTCCCTAAACATTTAGAATCGTTCTTTTACGTAATTTTAATTATTTGGCGACTTTAAATTTCTACATGATGAGCCACTTTGTTGAGCTTTCATTTGTGGCCAGGTTGCTTTAAAAACAATAAGCGAACTAATATCTCAGTGGGCTTTACCTGGTCAAATAAAAATTGCTTATTTAAACTAGTTTATTACACATTTATAAATAGCGTGATCTAACTCCAAAACGTTTATTACGAATAATATTGGTCGCGAAAGTCTACGTGTTAAACTATTTTATTTAACACCAGATAACAGATTCTATGAATCAAGTGAGACCAGTACTGCAAAGTAAACTGCCCATGTGCTGATGGGTTTGCTTTATTGATGCCCTCAATCTGGAGCTGCCTCAACCACACAGAATGTGCGGGGGCTCCCTGCTCTGCTCAAGGGAGAGAGTGACTCTTTTGATGATGATCTGCGATGAAGCTCAGAACTAAACACAGCTGCTCCACTGGTACAAGAATGCCAGATATCCCGTGGGTGCAAGTAAACAAACTTTTAAAACCTTTTCGCAAGCTCCGTTGATCGACTTACGTATGGGTATGATCGACAGTTGCCTGTAGTATTATTACTACTGCTGTTATTAACCGACACGATTTAAACTCAGCGGTACTGTTCAGCGGCCGCTGCGTTTTCTTTCTCGCCGTGGTGGGCCCGATTCCCAAAGACGCACCCGGAGGAGGGCGGCGGCCGCCTTGAGGCTGAGTTTCGGGCCGGAGTCGCGGGACCTGCCCGGAGTGACTCCGCGCCCACTGTAGCCGGAGCGGTAGCTGCCCATCGATGCGAGCGAGATCGCGCCGGGGCTCACAGGCGTTGGCGGCACGCTCACGCTGTCCATGTCGTCAGCCACGCGGAAGGCTCGCCCCCGGGCCAGCGGGTCGTAAACCTGCATCACCGTCACCGACACCACAGAGAGGAGAGAGAGAGAAACCTACGTCGTAAAACAAACACGCGGTGTAACTCCGTTTCGTGCTTACCACGTGTAAATAAAATAGACTTTTAGTCGCCGGCTTTGCGGGCCAACATCCACGAGCTTCTACGTCGTAAAGTTCACTCGAGCACGAGGTGACGAAGTGGGGGGACGCGGAGGTCAGGAGGTCGTGGGTCGAATGGCAAGTAGCCGTGGGTGGTCTTGACCTCCTGTTACGCCCCCGAGCAGGTTTAGGAAGGTCACAGATAGGACGGCATTGTAACGGAACAAGCGCGCCGGAGGTTACAACCTGATTAACGACACACAGGCACGCGTTATTGGCCCCCCAGGGGTCTCGTGGCCGGCACAATGTGAACGGGACCGACAGTAATGAGACGGGGTTCAGTTTGTTAGCGAGGACACACGCAGCTACAAGGGTGTAAATTTCAAGCCGGTTGATCCACATATTGCTCAGCTGGCCCTCTTTCCAGAAGTAAAAAACGAAGTGTTATTTTTAAAATGTAATTTTATGTGTACAGGTCTGTTTTACAGTAATTTAAAAGGTTTCAACAAAATTGACATCGAATGGAAATGAAACACATCGGTGAGCTATTTATTTTCGTGTAAACCTTTATATTAGCGTTAAATATAAAAGAGTAGAATGCGAAGAAATGTGCCTTATTATTGCTATTTGATTAAAGTTAATAAGTGCAGTCAATCACGATGCGTTTAATGCATTTCTTTCAGTCGCATCAACACCTCCTCACCCCGCAGTTAACTCTTTCAACGACACCGATCAACGTTCCCTCTTTTAACTTGCAGATCTTACTGCTGCTTACATTAATGCGTGTGTCCGCCATTAAAGATGTACCTGATAGAACCGAAAAGCGCAAGGGCCTTCAACGGGGGAAGAGAAGTGTGAATGGGAAGTGCAGGAAATACAACGGCATGGCTTCTCTGCAAAAGCTGTTGCCTTTTCTCGCCGATCCGATGATGACATTCCACGGCCGGCGGCTCGTGGACGCTACGCGAATAACCGCAACCTAAACTATTTCTTTCCTTTCTGAATGTCAGCAAGACCAACACAATATGTTTCTTTCTGTAGGCAAGTACAGCTGTTGTCTTAACACTTGTGCAGCCCGCCGTGACACAAAAACCTCACTGCAGGCAAAGACCAGTTGGGCATTCATCACCAAATGTCACCGGAGCTAAAATTAAGACCGCTTTGTTGATGAAAAGAACGCACAACAATGGTCGTTTGAAAGTGTTTTATGCTGTAATAAAAACTCGCTTTAACGTCTCTTTTTCATCTGAAAGGGAGTCTGTTGGTGTGCATCTCACTGATCTCTGGAGGAAACCTGGACTTTGACCCGAGTGCTGGGTTGGCGTTGGGTGTAGTGTTCACAAGTATGATAACATTATGAAGGTTTGGTGGTTAGGGGTCGTCCATAAATGACGTCTCGCGATTTTGGACGATTTTTGACCCCCCCCCCCCTCGTCACAAAAAGTCAGACCCCCCCTCAAATATGACGTCACAAAGCTCTGCCCCCCCCAAATAAAACATGCTTCAAATCGCTTTAAACTATTGTCATTGTAGTGCGTATTTAATGTGGCGCTGCACTCTGATGTTGTAGGAGAAAACATTTATTCAAAAGTCTATTTAATTAAGTAGAACGTGTTGTCTATATTTATTTAAAGTTGCGCATTTTGATGTGACGTCACATTTCTCAAACCCCCCCCCCCCTCGTCACACATCGTCACAAATGTCTGACCGCCCCCCCCCTAGGTGCGTGACGTCATTTATGGACGGCCCCTTATACACACGGTGGCAACTGACTCATTGTTTTGAAATTTCGTGAAGGTTTTTTGGGGTTTGCCCCCCCCCCCTGCCCCCCTGCAAACGCAGCAGCTGATGTTTTGTTGTATCCGCTGCTGTGCCCGAGAACGCAGGCGAGAAGTGGCCACGGGCACACGCAGGCCAGGCACGGCACACGTTGTGCAATTCTCAAAGCGACGGACGTCGTTCACGAATCGCGAACAACAACAACAAAAAGCCGAGATCGGAGGAGCACGTAACACTCCTTGTGAAATCGCACAACACACGGAGGTCACACCGGCTCGTAATCACACGATAGGGAGCGTGATTATTATTATAATGATGAAATCAAACTCTGGCCCTCGAACTACGCGCATCACCCACATGGCCACCCTGACAAAGCGTCGTGCGCCCCGGGGGCTAATCGTCGTCATCGGCGTTGGGGAGTAACGTGTGGCAAGTGATGGATTACTGTAATCACCTCCACAAAGCCAGGCACTGGTGGTAATTCCCCTATTTGCATGAGTAACAGTACTTCCTTTAATGATAATGTTACGCTTGAATGCGTTTATGTTCATTCTCATCTTTTGACGACATTTTTTTTAATGATCGTGAAAACCTACGAAATGTGAAAAAACCAGACGTCAGTAAACCTGTTCGGAAGAAGATGATTGCGCAAGAATCTTTCCAAATTCTAGAATTGAAGCTTTCGTGACTGTGTTCGACGTGGCGTAGGCTACGAGCGGGTAGTGGAGAGCGGTGTGGGCGAGAGAGGAGGGCACCTTCTGCATGCCCACGAAGAACGGCGGCGGCGTCTCGGCGCTGGCGAGCGAGATGGAGTCGTGGTTGTGGAGGTCCATCTCCTTGCGGAACTGCGCCTTCAGCTTGCCCAGCCGCCGGTCGCAGTGGTGCAAGCCTCGGCGCTGCCACTGCTGCCAGGCCTCGCTCTCCTGCGCCAGGCCGAACCACTCAGCCAGGCCGCTACGCCGAGAAAGACGGCACGTGTCAGCGAGCAGCGTGTGGGAATAGGCTCTCAACACTTCACTCTCCAACTTGATTTGAAGCTTCCACTCGCCCTTTCTCTGACTCTCTCTTACTGCAACGCTACAGGTCGCCTACGCCCGGTGAAGAGCTCTATTTTGGCTGAGATGGTGGAAAGAATCATAGTTTATTTCACCAATGAATATGTTCCCTCATCACAACTGGAACAATTAAATATGTATGATCAGTAATTATAATGGAACTTTATGATAAAATACTCTACGAGTTATTTGGTTTTCGTGTATTTTTCACAATAAATATAATCGGGCCTAATACTGTAGTCAGATATATTGCATCGTGCTGGCCATTTGTAACCAAATCATAGTTGTCTCTATGCTCGAGCAAACTAGTGCCAAACTCATTTGGCATCGGAGTGATTATCATCTGGTTGGTAACATTTTATTCAAACACTTTTTTTCGCTTTCGACCAATTTTATTCCAGTTGTGCTATCGGCATCACCAAAGTGCATCACCTCATGAGATAGAGAACAGCCTGTGGAAGGAGATATTACCGAACTGCTTCTAAGAACCCTCCAAGTAACCCCTTTCATCCCCACACTCAGAACACTCAACCTTGCCATGCCATCCTGCAATATATATCATGAAATGTCACATTAAAGTCAAACCGAAATGTTTAATTCTCAGACCTGGACATCTGTGTATAAGTATGTGAAAAGCCAAATGTATTGATGTTTTTTGCGTGTAATTATTTGTGCATGGGCTGAAACCCGTTAACTCTCGAAAACTTGAGAACTGGATTTAATCGCGGGAATCTGAATCCTCTGGATTCGAACCCAGGCCCTCGGGAGACACCAAGCTCAGTGCTGCGACCCCTAGGCTATTCAAAACCTTGTTTTTTTTATTGCGTGCTGAATAGCACCACCTGGACAGTCCTGGTCCGCTCCCTTTACCAACCCACACTGACGAGCGTGGGTGAAATATGGCCAAACAACCCCCAAGATCGCACTCGCGTGGGAAGGCCCTCATCCAACAGTGGATTGACACAAAGGGCGGTTCGTGCGCCAATAATCGTAAAGCGACGGTGGCAGCTTCATTTTGGTGAAAGCAATGAGGCACACAGCGAACCGTATGGCTTTAGATTTTTTTGGCGATGTTTACGCCGCTTATATAAAATGTACACCGTGTCGCGTGTGCAATGTGAATATTCGCCGGGGCTTAAGCTAGGACACCAGTTCATTTCAAGTTGCTGCAAAGGTCACAAGAGGAATGCACATAATTTCCAGTGTAATGCCAATTCCACAGTCAGCAAATGAATTAGTTTCATTTTACTGCGACCACATGTAGCCCGATCCCAGTTTCGTGCTTGATTTTGTAGAAGTGAAGTAAATAAGGTACATAGGTTTACATTCATGCCACATCCAAATTACACAAGGCCTATTAGGAATCGAAGAAATTGAAAGCCGATTACATTATATGGAAAATACTTTTTGATCCACATAGCAATGCGCCTAAAGCTAGTCAAGAAAAGTTCACATTCCTTTGACGGGACGATGTGGTCTTTCAGATACCCACTGCTGACTTTTATTGGCCTCAGAAGGATGATAAGCTGAGTTGAACCACACCCGGATTGAGATTTGAAACCTCCGTTTCTTTTTATTTACGTTTTATTTTTTCCACAACTATATTGGCATCATGTCATGCACATGGAAAAATAAATTGGGAACTCTGCAGCTAGAAATGCCATGTGTTACATGAGGGACCCCCATAGATACTACTAGAACCAAACAAAACTTCTTTAAAAGTATCTGTTACTATTCTTTTTTATCCACACTCTGTGCATACATTGTAATGTCCTACAAAGAGTGTTCATTGCACATCAATCAAAACCAATAGTCGATTTCAGAGCTGCAATGAGCCAAATTAAGTGAAAACACGATTCCATATGACAATTATTTTCGTGCACTTACTGGTGATCAGGCCTAGATCACTAACTCACTGAGCTCCAGAACCAGTATCATCGTGGGTGGCCACCCAGGACCCAGGATCCTCAGCGATGCCAGCTCAGGGAATTGATCCCCTGAGTCATCCTGCCACATCGGCGTCGTGAGCCGAGTGCTCTGCCACAAGGTTGAGATTACGAACACGGCGGAGTGTTTATTCAAGTGGGGGTACCTTTGGATTCTTTGGCCGATGGAAGGGGGCCTCTGGTAGTAGGGATGCGGGAACTCGTACAAGCCAGGGAAGATCTTGCTTGGTGCCAGGGGCAGCCCGGGGCTCTGCCCGTACCCGAGGCGATTTAAGTGCTGCGAAAGAAAGAAGAAGAGTAAGGCCAAAACACACAACTTACTTAACCGTGCGTTTTTTTTACTGACTTTTTTTTTCAGAAAAGTTGACCATCTGGCTGAGTTTGGGGATGCTTGCGGAAAAATATTGAAATGTCTGAGGTCAAGAAAATATTTTTTGTAAGAGACGTTACAAACTGCCTGCACTCCCCCGCAGTGCTGCGGCCTGAAACGTCCCGAAACCACTCCCGAAAAATGCACTTTTACAGCTAAAAGGCAAAATAGTTTTAAAATATTTACTGCAAAGTGTCTAAAAGTAAATGTTCCGCAAGTATACTGTACATTTCAAGAATCTTATTGCGAGAGGACGATTATTTCCTGAACATACTGCGCACAGAAACCATTGGCTTATTGCGCGGTAATACGGTAATGGATGGATGACGAACAGAAGATATACACAGATCACATTGAAATCTCATCATTATCTCTGATGTTACAATTGCTGCACTGTATTAAAAATGATCAAAATACGTTGCTCGAGGCCATGCAAATGTTGGCTGCAATTTGTAGCGTTTCTCGTGATGGAATGCGCACATGTGGCACAAACATTGCCAAAAGGGCGGTGAAGAGCAGGGCCTATTTGCGACGCCAAATGCATTATCAACAGCCTGGACGTCGCCATGCTTCACAAAAGCGCACTGGAGATCCTTGCAAGTTGTTTTTTTTGTCGTGTGGCATTTACTCAATGTGCCTGCACACAAAAAACCCCATTGCGAAGAGTGCCTGTAAGAGTCTAACTGAATCTAAAAGATTGTAATCGGAAACGCAGCACGTGGGGCTGACCGTGATTAACTCGAGAATAACGACTGAAATCCGGCACTTCGGTCGTGATCGAACCGGCATTGGGAAGTTCTTCGTCCAGTGATAGATTGATAATAAAAGCCTGGAAATGAATGCACGTTTTATGAAGCGCCTTTCAAATTTGGTCATCTCAAAGCGACTATACAGAACATCGGAGGAAAAAATAAACATAATAAAAAAAACACTGGAAAAAAATCTAGGATATGTACCACAAGCTTGCAAAAAGAAAATTGGAGACATCTGTTGGAGGGACACAACTTGAAAGCACAGTGGGAATAATATGCAAAGGAGGCATGCTCACAAACAGCAGGAAGGCACGACTCCACTCATGCCTTGCATGCATGTCACGTGATCACCACATCGCATGTACTGTGCAATACTCTCAGCCTTGTCCAATCCACCAGCTCAAAAGAACTGAACGTCTTGGCCACGTCGTTTAGACCACCAAACTCGACGAATTAAAAACGTGGTCATCCCATCAGATCGCAGTATTTTCTTCCGTGACGATGATGATGATCATCATCATCAGCCATGGTCAATCCACTGCTGGATGAAGGCCTCTCGAACCCGCCACCACCTCTCATGATCCTACAATGGAACAATCCAGCCAGCACCTGCGCACGAACTGATCTTCGTTGCTCCATCTCCTCGGCGCACGTTCTCTCTTGAACGCATTCCACTCCTTGGCTGCCACTGCGTTATCATTCTCGACCACCGGCCATCGTACCCTTCGAAGCGACGTGTCCTGCCCGAGCCCACTTACTCTCCTGTGGTGGCATTGCATTGTTTGAAATACAATATATGCGTTCAGATGTGTTTCTGTCAGTGCCATTTGGAACGAAAATTGTGCAAATGCGCTGGCTAAATGAGCCGGAGGAATGTGTACCGCTGGCTGAGGTCACCCTTGATGCACCTCCCTGTCGACCGAGGTGGGCGTTGTCACCCGCAATTGTGTGCAAACGGGTCGCGGCGAGGCTAAGGAGTCTCGGGGAGACGGCAGCAGCGAGTGGGGAAAGTCACACTGGAGTATTGTTTTGCGAGAAGCGGCGCAGACGACGTCTCGCGCGTGAATGTCACTGCTGCCCACACCCTGTCTCGGCCGCGGCTTTGTCGCGGCGCAATTAGGTAATTCCCTGCCTGCTAAAGGGGCAATCATCTGCCAGGAGGATCACCCGCGCTTTGCGAAGACGACGCGCTTGCCTGGTTTGACTCGTATCAACGTTTCCACTCGCACCTTAAAACGCTGTTGGAAGATAGGTGGAAGATTCAGAAAGTCAATTTTCCTTCCATTTTTTTTGTCGTTATTAGGTCCGTGGGCCCCAGTGCAGGTGCACTGGCTGTAGACTGGATCTTGTATTAGCACGGTTGGCTACGTCCGGTGCAAAAGAAGTTCAACATCCATAAAGACTGGATAGTCACGACACTGTAAATAAGCTACAGTGAGTGGCTACCAGCTCTTTGCAAGCTCCTTAGGATAAACAACTCCATTGCCACACACCCGTCCATGCAGAGAGAAGCTATCCCAAGAAAGGGTAATGACTGATGAATGTTTAAGTCTGAGCACTGGGCATTTTGCCTTTGGTTGTGCTTCTTTTGTAAGCATCATTAGCTACGTATCACTTAACAAAAAAAAGCCTCTTTATTAAAAATAAAGGGTAAAAAAACGCAATAGATATAACCACAATTGTATAATGGATGAAAAAAATGTGCGAATTCTTCGTGTGAACTTTACAATGTCTTCTGTTGAAACTCAGTTTTGGCAACGTTCCGAGGCTTGTGAATAATAGAGCGGGGGTGTGTTTCATTTCCACGTGCTGTAATTGAGCGAGACCTATGAGCTGTCCCCTGTAAGTGGGGATTTACTCGATGGCATCATCCGGAGTGGCGGTGGTTTTTTGTGTGGCGAGCACGTGGGATCGCAGGTGTGGCGGTGATCGAGGTGTCTGTGCTCTTCCGCTAAACAGCAGCAGCAGCAGCAGCAGCAAAACGTCGTACTCAAATTGTCAATGTTGTGGGTTTACTCTCCAACACACTGGTTAGTGCTGAAGTAGTAAACTAATTATCACGTTTTGTTTACGTGGCAAACCTTACTAATTGGCTGTGTCGGTGGTGGTGGGTTAACGACACCTTTTTTGTTTACGGATCATCAATGTCAAAGTTGATAAAGATAATGTAATAAAATCTGACGAGTTAAAAACTTTCATACTATGCGATTCGTCATGGTACACATACAGTGACAGTTGTATCTGGCTCAATTGAGGATGGGAGTTAATTTCCTGTGGACAGCCCTGAGCCAGAGGCGGAAATTCCCCATTCACATGGCGGGCACTGTGTGACACGTGCAGCAGTAGGGTTAGCGAAATGCTCGCTCGCTTGAAATTGCTAAATGAAACAATACCATTAAGTCTCGTCTATCCAGATAGCACATCGTATTTCTTTTTCATATTTCCAGTGAGTTTGCACGGCGTTATGTATTATTATTATTTATCCCAATTACTTTATTATATTATAGGCTTATTCACTTACTCTAAGCGAATAATTTGGCGATACTGCGTTGGCAGTGGTGCGCGATTCATCAACAACACTGTGGCTTTAAAAGGAACAGTGAATCATCGGCAACGTTGAGGGCAATGTTCCTTTTTCATGGCACGCTAAGAGATCAGGCCTCTTTGGCCTCTCGAAACAAACTTTTGATTTTATTTGAAAGGCAGTGCTATCAACGGAAGTGTCGATATATCTATTTATTTATTGAAATATGAAATTAACTTGCATTGCATATGTGTTGCTCTTGCATTTATACCTCTGGCATCTATTACAAAAGTGGCTTTTTTCTCTCTCTCTTTGTCTATAAACTCTCTCACCTGCTTCCTAATTCAGCTCGATGACTGATTTTCACCGCTTTATGTACGTGCGGGGAGACAAGTTTCATCTTGAGTGCGATGCTAAATTGCATCCGCGGATGGTGTCACCCAAAACACATCGCTGAGTAAGCCGAAGGGAAACCACAACTATTGTCGCGTAACAAAAACCAACAACGCCTTCGTCAATAACACCGTGGCCTTTAAGGGAAACAGTATACGGGAGGCGGCGTTTCGGGCAACGGTTCTTTTCACGGGAGACAGACGGGCCAGAGAGAGAGAGGTCTGGTCCTCTCTTATGTGCTCTGAATAATGAGTTATGCCTTTAAGGACACGCTGGCTATAACACAAAGTAGCTAGCCACGGTGGATGAGAGTGAGAGTAGATGGGTGATGGAGAAAAAATTAACCCTTAAAAACAAAGTTTTTCACTATAAATCCTTTATATGCGTGGCGGCTAGAGTCCTCTCGTCCTCTGGCTTGAGATGGCTGCCACCTATGGGTCAGATGATTGCCTGCCACCATTAAGCAATTGGTAATTAAATATAATTGTTTTTTTCCTATAAAGTGTAAAAATTAGGAAAAAAATTTTCACGAAAATTAATTGTCACGCACAACGAGTCTGTGTGCAAAATGTCAGCTCGATTGGATCACGGGAAGTGGGTTAAAAAACGACCGAAAGATTTGCACGGTCGTAAGCGCGCAAGCAAGCAAGCAAGTGAACTTAATATAAAGGATTTAAAAAGAGTGAGCGTGCGTGCGGGTCAGCGGATGGTCGGGTGAATAGACGAGAGAGAGAGAGAGAGCGAGTTGACGAGTGAGAGAATGAACGAACGGACGAAAACGAGTCGGCGGGTGAGTGAGTGAGCGTGTTAGCGATTGAATGAACGCGTGGGTAGGTAAGTAAGGTCAGCAGAGTCGCACCCCCCAGTCGTGCGATCAGTTATAAAGGTCACCTCGTGACACGGTGAGGATCACGCATCAGCGGGCTGTGCACAGGAAGTTCCGCTGCACAGAGGAAGGAAGAGGAGCACATTAAGCAGGGATGCGACGGAGGAGAAACAAAAGGGGCAGGGAGTTGTCAGCTGGAAGAATTAAGAGAGAGGGGAAAAGGATAAACAGGAAAACGACCGCCGAAAAACAAATCGAAAATAAACTCGGGAGGAAGTTTCTGGCTTCTGCAAAGGTTAGATAGCGAGCGGGTGTTGCGCTGCCTGTGATCCTGGGAAACGTGAGAGTCACAACTATTTCGGGGACGATATTCCCTCTTAGCAAACGGTATTACGACTGTTGCTTTTTGTTT